GGATTCGTCTTCAAGTCTTGCTCGTTCCTCTCTTGCACGGCGACGAGCTTCCGTGACTAGATTTTGATAGAGCGAGGCTATCTCTTCCGCTTTAGTAGACGGAGCCAGCATGTTGATGCCCTTGAAGGTTTTCGCAAGATACTTCAGTCTCACCAGTGGTCGTTTGAGCAGATAAGCCACATCCACCTTCTCACCTTCACTGTTGATCACGTCACCATTTTCATCTCGAGCCATTCCCTCATCCAAGCTCTTCGTATCAGCATTCTGAGCGACCTCGCCCTCTTCAAGAGGAGCCAAGTTAACGATAACGTCTCTGAAGCCTAGTCGCCAGGCCCGAAGGTATTCACGGTAGACTCGCTGAGCTCCCTGGGCCCAAGTAAGCAAGGAATCCGAGTTATCTTGTGGAATTCGCTTATGCAGCGTCTTCAAACGCTCGATAGCCACACCCATATCGACTATCGGCTTAGTAAAGTTCAGCTCGTCTTTCGGATCAGTTGATGGTCGAAAGAGACCCGCCGCAATAGCCGAGTCTGATCTTGAGAGGACGCAAGTCAAAAGCACAGGTATTACGCCGCCGACGAGAGTCTTGAGCTCGCGCATGTATTTCACTTCGTCGGCCGCTAACTCCTTGAGCAGGTCAGCGACGGTAGCATTAGTTGAGCGGCTCTTGTTTGTTCGCAGGCTTCGAGCAGAGCGTAGGCTTCTACTGCGCGTATTTGGAACCGAAAGTACAGACAAGAGATCATCATGTGTGGTGAGTCGCCTCTTCAACTGAGAAGAGACAACAGGAAGCGAATTTGGGTCAAACTGATCTCTCCCCTCCGCATCATCTTTGGTTTGTGACGATGTTGGCCCGGACTTGTTTTGAAGAGAGCTAGGTGCAAGTGCCTGCGATTGCCCATTATCACCTGTACTCATTGTTTCAATGGAGGCAATAGTTGAAAGTCGATGGAGGCCTGTGCTGGGAATGGGTCGTTTGCGGATAAGAGGAACAGGAGCGTTATTCCCAGATACCTCCGAACCGTCGGAAAAAGGATGAGTATCTGTGTCATGAATCTCTGCCTTCGGATCTGCAGACTTGTCGCGGGTGGTAGTCTCATTTGCACCCGACGATGACCGGCTATGCCTGTGTTCGCTGGACTTCTTCCTGTGGGTAGGAGAAGAGTCATCTCTCCTCAGCTGTTTCGTGGAAACTTTTTCCTCCTCAGATTTCTTTCTCTCACTGGCGGATGAGCCTTGTCTACTTCGCCCATGTCGTTTGGATGTACTCTTTCGACGACTCTCGCTCTCAGGAGACGGTTCAGAATCTGCGGCGCGGTCATGTTTATCTTCTCGTTTGTGGGAGGGCTTCGCTCGGTTCGTCCTAGTGTTCAAGGGTGCAGGAACTTCCACATCGGGATCCATGTCTTCCAGGAACGGATCAGAAGTACCAGAGAGCCAGGCCTCAATTTTGGTTCCCCTAGCAGGAGCGGGCTTGGGAGGCTCCGGTCGCGCGAACATTTTTCGAGACTCATCCAGCATGTGCCCGAATATACCTCCCTTAGGGGGCTTGAGTGGCGCGCGAGATTTGGGCGGAGTGTTAGGGCCAGGGCCTCGTGCGCGCCTTCTGGAGAGTTCCGAGAAATCTGCTTCACTTGCTGCCCAATCCGTATCGTCCTCGGTCACTTCTCCCCTCTTCTTTAAACTTTCCAGTGGCTCCAACGGGTCTCCACACTGAGAGCGATTTGCAGTCCCTGGCCGCGAAGTAGACTTCGAAGATCCCTTCTGTTGCGCCTCATCCTCTTCAGTCTTGCTCTCGGTCGCCGAATCCACATCTCGAGAGACTCTAGATTTCCTGCGCTCCTTGATAGTCGAGTCAGATGCGCCTCCAGCCTTGTCCCTGTCACGGCTGCGCGAGGATGGCGCCGATCGCTCTTCTCCATCTTTCCGACCTTCTTTTCGCCCCAGTCTGGGGGATGGTAACTGATCGTTGACTGTATACTGGGAAATACGCTTCGGGGGCGGTAGTTTCGGCTGCGGGGTTTGACTGGAAGCCCGGTTCAGCTTCCAATGCTCATCACTGATCAGGCGTTTTCTGGGAGTGCTGTTGCTGCGCTTCCTCGCAACACTCTTAACGGGCTTAAATTTCGCTTCGCTCGTCGAATTTTCCTCGTCGTCCTCGTAGTAAACAACATCGGTGGCTGTGATGACCCCACCTCCCTGCTGCTGCCACTTACGAACCTTCTCCCGTACAGAATTGGTGTCGTATACGCCCAGGGGCAGCCCAATATCTAGAGGTTTAGATTTCGTTGGGGAAGATTTGGCGCTTCCCCCACGGTTGGAGGGGCGATGCGGAGTGGCAGGCGTCGACGGCATCGATGTCTGCTATGGTGAATGCTGATGATTAGCATATTTCTGCAGACAGAAGCAGTTATCCGAGACATAAAATTCCTGCGACCAAATTCTGGAAGCTTAATAAACATTCGATGTCGAAATTGGAGGGGAAAAGAATGTTTCGATTTTGCCGTATTGTCTGAGAACCAGCAGCGACCAACGACGTCACGCGGGCCGCTTGTTTGTTTATCGCAAGAAGAGAGGGGGGGGGGACAGCCAGAAAAGGCTCACTCACTCACGGCTCGTACAAAAGCATTACAGAATTGGGATTTCAACTAGTTGCGGAAATTTGAGCACACAGAGCGAACAGAGATAGGAAGAATAAATAAAGAGATTTGAGTAGAGACCCAGTAAACAGGCGGTCAAATGATGGGGGCAGCAGACGACTGTAGAGGAAGCAGGTAGGCTCTAGTTCGCTGCCGGCTGGGTCCAAGTGACGATGGTCAGCTGGGGAATAATATATGGTACTTGAAAGAAGAACTCACAATAATGATTGATGTTGAGATGATATGAAAGGCCGTCTACTCTGGATGACAGCGAGGTTAAACAAGTTAAAAATAATAATCTCTTCCTCTCGAATTCGACTGATCCAGAGCTTTCAGCTTGTCGCATATCTCCCCTAGGTAAGGTTCTAGTCAGTAAGGATACTGAGGCTGCCCGGGAAACCTACGGGATCAGCGCTAACTTCTAACCAACCATACTAGGTTAAAGTGGTAAACTAAATCATCATGTAGCAGCTCTCTTTCAATCTCGCACTTGTACGGAGTACTCATCATGATGATGTTGCCGGATAGATTCATTAGGCAGATATGAAGCAATCGTCGAATTCCAGTTGTTTCGGGCGTTATTGCCCATCATATGTACTGCCACGATTTGTATATCCACAGCAGATCCACCTAAACGGGAGCCCAATCGATGATTTGAACAATTCAGGGCAGCACTTTCATCCATAGACTTTCTCTTCTATATTATCATCTAGAACCGTAATCGGATTATGACGGCATAGTACATACGCCCTCTTATACAATCATCACTTGCTACATGAAGAATGTCTAGCGAGGTAGTTGTCCACGCGTCACCAAGTGGGTCGAACAGGCTTGACCTCAATAACCTCGTCAGGCACATCGGATTGCATCGAATTACATTAATCCATATTTCAATCAAGTCAGTATCCAAATGCAGTCGTATGCTCCTACAGGTGTTTCGTTTGTGCAACGATGATTCCAAGAAAATCGTTGGCTCGGGTCGGGTGATCTCGAACATGGACAGACTCCCATCACCGAGCCTTTTCATCTGCAGACATTCGCTGTAAAGCTTTGAAGGCATTGGAGATCGTCCTGATACTCTGAGAAAGATAATCTGAGACATGCATGAGTATGTATCGGCGCCACGCCTAGGGCATGGAACTCACAGAAGGGGATAACAATCCAGATGAAGTTCATGAGAAAATAGTAGATCCAAAAGTAGTACGCTTCAGGTCGGCAGTACGACCGTCCATGGACATAGTGATCGTATAAACTCGTGGCATAGTACAGTGTATCACCGTACAGATGGCTCATGCAGACAATCAGCTGCAGTGGATGACGGAGTGACCGTTGGTTGAGGATCGAGTATGCTACAAAGAAGCACAGTGGGCCCCAGATGAGCTGTTGTCCACAGTCAGCCGTCGCGAATCAGAGAACCTCGTCTGTGTAGTAGGTGTCATGATACGTACTACTGTCATCGTCTCCATGCACAGAACCAAGGTGTCCGAAGTCATATATCTCGAGTCAGATAGCGCATATTCCTTCCATAACTGGCCGAGGAAGTCCTGCGCAGAAGCCATGCGGTCATGGTGGATCATGAAGTAGCCTTCAAAGAAGCAATGTATTGTCCCAGCTGGTTGAGCAGTTAGAAGGCCACTGTTTACTCATATGTATGGATTAGAAGCGGAATTCTTACAGAGAACAAACCACAGGATAGCAAAGCGGTCTGCCTTTGACAGACTTGGTCGTAAGAAGCTGACCCAAGTTAAAGTCCCTCCTAGAATGGCAGAGGTTGCGATACTGGAGGTAGTGAGAAGGCTGTGGATTGAAGTCTCATTGGGAACATATTCCTTGATAAGCGCATCCAAAGGATAGTAAGGATGCGGAGAGACTTCAGTACTCATAATTGCAGAAGAGTCAGTGTGCGAATAGAATTAAGTTCGTTTTCTATTGCTGGATGAATGTTGGAGTTCTGTGAGAACTTGAAAGCAAGGATGGATACCCTGGCAATGCCCGTTTATGTACTCTGTATATTCACTTCATGTTCATTCACAACCTATGAATACACCACATGGCTTTGATTATCCCTGAAGAAACAGTATGATCCTAGATGGCGAGCTCTTTCATCAACTTCGAACTGTCGAGGCAACCAGATATACCATGGTAAACAAGTGACCCCTGCCCCCTGGTAGATGATCCCACTTACTCAACATGGCTAGCCTTGATTCCTCAGGCAGTAACACCTTTTCGGGATTCTCCGCAACGTAACGCTGGACTCGGATCGCGATTATCATCCTCCAAATCATCACCAACTAAAATTCGTCAGTCCTTTCGATCACTTCATGGAGCCTGGAAGCTCCTTGATCAACGCGCATTCTTGCCATGGCACCTGGTCCTTTTAGGAGAAAGCCCCTGGGGCTCGATGTACCCCGCAACCCTACTCCTGACTCGCCGCCTGGCATTGCGGCGCTATTCGTCATCCGCTTCGATGTCAAGGCTGGGTGAGCTCTGCCATCAGCTTGCTTGTTCCACTGCAAATTTATGACCTACGGCGACTGACTACGAACAATGATCTAGATATGTCATTTCGTGGAAACGTACCATTCCTGGAGGTAAGTGACAGTTATCATCGAGAGGTAGGAGCCACTGAAGCTGACGTATTTTGGTCTAGTCGAGATAGAAGGAGTTGTCGAATACAAATCGCTTCCGTCGGGTCTTCACAATGTCTCTGAGGACTTAGTGTACGTGTGACTGTCCGATTGATCGTCTCCCGTGTGCTAATTAATTGTCATTCCCCAGATATTTCGTCCATGAACAGTATGCCGGTATCAGTTCGTTCATCAACCAGCCTGCGGATGAAGCAGAGCGCAATGCGCAGATGTTCGCCGTGGGGGTTCTGGTCCCTCTGAGCTCTGGTAGACTTGGGAAAAGTTGGAGACACGCTCCAAGGCTAAAAGAATTGGCAGAGTGGGTGGAGATCTCACATGGCTCGAAGCACCGTCTGACATGCTTGATGCAGGACCTATGCCAAGGATATGACCAACACGCAACCTTTGTCGGACTACTGGGATAACTTTGAGATTCGCGTGAACGATGCATCGACCATACCTCCTGATTCTCCTCTGGAATCACCTCTCAGCTTCCGTTTGAGAGAGCGACCGGACAGCTTACAGCGAAATCGCGCATTCAGCGACGCAATAGTACTGGAAGCGTCAAGGCCGGCCCTGACGCCTTTCCATCCAGCATCCTCACTTCCCGAATTTCTTGACTCTTTCGGTCCTTTGATATTCCCATTGTACAGAGCAGCATTATTACGCAAGCGTATTCTTTTCATGGCCGAAGCGCCCGTCCATATACCCTGTAATTATGGTGAATGGATTTCCTCCCCAGTTGTCCCCCACATGTCTTGAGCAGTCCTTGCTAACAAGCGCAGTATATGATTTGTCATTGTTAGCATCGCTCCCGAATTCCCTTCTTCCACTGCTTCCACCCGGCGGTTCACCTCCTCCCCGACCCCGCCCGCTGTTCAATATCGGCATCCATGATATACCCTACCTTTCATCCTTCGTGCACGTCTCCGCCAACACCGAGCCCGATGCAGCTTGGATAGCCTGCAGCACAGATAGTGTGCTGAGCATGAAAAGTGAGCTCTTCGACGTCCTGGTTACTTTGCCTCCGCCACATGCCAGCAACGCAGCCCAAAAAGTCTTCCCTAAAATCTCCGTCTTGCCTAACCGAAGCGCGCAGCATAACTCGTCTCAAGCAATCTACCTGAAAGCCACACAGCGCGATGCGCGACGCTACACCATCCTCCGTAAGGGCTTGCACCACATCTCCTACGATGACAGCGCATCTGGCGAAGACGAGGACTCCGATGCTGCGTCCACATACTCATCCAGTCCGGTCGTCGAGCCCCTGTCATGGACGCGTTTAGCCTACACATCATTCATCTGGTGGGCATCCGCGGGGGAAAAGCGGGACGGACTCTCGGAAGAAGAGGAAGAAGAGCACCAAATTGAGCAAGACACGCGGCTCCTAGCCGGTGTGGAAGCCATGCCGATCCCGTCGTCGGGATCTCTAGGCCGCCATTCCATGCAAGCGGAGGACGCTTCGCAACCTCCCGAAATCGCACTGGTCGCCTACTTCCGTCGTCTGACGACCCAGCTCTTCGTCACGTTGTCGGACGTGATTGCCCGTCAGGATAACAGAAACGGGGAAGAGGATGAGGATACTGGCGCCCCGTACGAGGATGAACCGGAGGAAGCGGACGCCGAACCTTCAATTTCCATTGGCCGGGAAGTTTCCCAAGGAGACGATTCGAGATCGCCCTTGTTGCCGTCTGCCGCCAAATCTTCATCTGAGGATGACGAGCCGGTGACTGTTACCTCCGAGGATATGACGGAAATGGGCCTCGATGTGTGGAGCGCTTCCGACCGCGTCTTTGTCGAGGAGTTGGTGCAATCATGGTGGGGTCGCAAAGCCTACATTGATAGTGCGCGCATTAAGTGCTGCGGGATTTCGATTGTTTGATGAGGCCGTTGACAAGGGTCAAGATCGATCTTGTCATGGTAAATATCCATTTGCATTTTGATACATATACGCAACAGATGACGGGAGAGGTATCTTATTCATGGTATTCGGTTGAGTTCGTAAGAATTATGTGCTGATAATCATATAGCCGCTGGAGCAGGATTTTATGTACCATAAATATGCTTGACAAAGGAAAATGGGGAGATCATGCAAATCTCAGAATGAATGTGAGGATGACATGCAAGTAGAGCTGCGCTGAAACATAAGCAAGCATAAAAAGAGCATTGTCCTGTTGCACCGCAAGTATCTTAAGCTGTGGCTATATACCAGCAGAAGAAGTCCAAAGTTCAGGTCAGCTCATAGTGATCCAAAAGAAGTACCCAAAAAAAGCAAAAAGATCCATTTAATAAGCCCCGAGAAAACACCAAGTCAAACGCCATCTCATTTAGACATCAGGGTATCGAACGAAGATCGGTCAACAATCGACAACAGCTCAAGTATGATGTGCTTCAGACATCAATGTACAGGTTCACATCACGGAGGAAAGAGTTTTACCGGTGAAACATCCTGACCGGAGCGCTTAGGTCTCGTCGTACTGCCTTGTCCCCGTCAGTTCTCACTGCCGAGCTCTGAACGCCAGGGATTCTTTGAGCACCCCGACCCGGTGTGACACCCATTCCTCCAGAGCGAAGGGTAGCCTCATTGGCACTGGCAGATCTTTTCATTGTATTAGTCCTCCCTCTTCGTGCTCGAATTTGCGCTAGAGCTTGTTCTCTATCGATGGACGTTCCAGGCAGTGGAACGGAATGAGGAGTGAGCGAATCGTCTGATCCTGTAGGTGCATTAAGACCATGTTCAATGCTGTAGCGTGGTGAAGGAGAATCCCAAGGGACATGGATACGAGCTGGGGATGGTTGGAGACCAGGAGCGAAAGGTTGGACCGAGTCTTCTTCCTTAACTTGCACCATGGGCTCAAAGGACGGCTCGTGCCAATTGACATGCTTTTCTTCGAAAGGACTAACGAGCAACTGCTGCGCTGACAGATTGTCGCGAGAGACCGACGATTCGAGCCCGCTTAATGCTTTGCCTTGAGGTTGCTTAGGAGGCGATCGAACGGGAGACGGGACTGATTTGAAAGTTCCCGTCACGGGCGAGAAAGTTATCAAGAGTTCTTCTGGTTCTTCTTGGCGCCTGGCATGATCCGTAGGCCCAGATCCCCGCAAAGGGTTGTCAAAGTGTGAACGAGGTTGGCATGCTTGGGCCTGAGGGCCACGGATATCATGGCATTCTTCTTCGATGATGCTTTGAACCTTGTCCTTGGTTACGACATCTTCGCAGGTTGGAGCATGGACTTGATTGGTCTCTTCCTCTTCCGCAAGCCTGCAGGAGCATCGTTTGAATTCGCATTCCATTCTCAAAAATTCGATCATGTCCTCAGCATCGAGTCTCATTTTTCTCTCATGCTTGAGCGTTTCTTCAAGGTCATCGATAATCTCTTGCTGAGTGTTTGCGGATAGTGTATTTGGATCGCCTTGCCGAGGTGTCACATCTGAAAGTCTTAGTCTCTTTGGAGGAGTGTCTTGCGCCGGGGTCTGATCTGTAGATTTCACGAGCGGTGAGTGCGTCGAATCCTCAGCAGGCCGTTTTGGCCTGCGAGGTGTCGGGGTGAGCATAAACGCGAGATCTCCTTCTGCCAGCGATAGTCTTCCGATATTTTCGTGACCCATTTCTTTTGCTCGGGCCTCAAGGCTGTCTGAGCGGCGATTGGCTTCGACATTGCGCAAGCGTCCTTTGAGAACCTCCAGCTCTTCAGTCAAGCCAGCAAGTGCGTATGCTCGCTCAAATGCCTCTTGCTTCGCTTGTTCCTTCGCCGCTCGCTCACAGAGAACTTCCTCTTTCAATCCTTTCGTTTCCGAACGTGCGTGTTTCAGTTCCTCCTGCAATTTTACCAGAGCGGATCCCGCGCGAAAGGCCTCTTTTCTTGCCTTCCTAATCTCTTTTTCGAAGACAGATCGTTCATGCGCTTGTCGTTCTTTGGCTGCTTGAAGTTCTTCTAGTAATGATTCGAGTCGCTCGCTTATGCGACGCTCTCTTGACTGTGCCTCGGAAAGCTGAGCGGAGACACTAGCTAGAGCAGATTCCGCCTCTTCGCGACCGAGAACTGCTCTTTGAAGTGCTGCTGAGGTACCAGAAGACGTTGATGGCTGTGGTGTATTTGCCGGGCTGTTTCCTCGAGACAGATTGTTCAAGAACGCTACTCTTGCCTGAACGTCGGACATCCCCCTTGTCTTCTTTCGTTGCTGTATATCCAGGATATCCGATTGCCGTGATGGTGAGCTAGGAATGATCTGTTGATTCATCCGCTCAGGTGAGAGTGGGTGAAGTATTTTCGTAGGACTGGAAAGAATAGGGGAGTCCATCGCGAATAACTGGTGATGGGTGTCAGACCAATGTTGATACGGTCCCTCTGGTGCTAATCAAGCATGACAATCGCTGAAAAGGTTTGCGATTGCACGGTGTCGCAATGGAGGCGGGCTTGGGTTGAAACTTGGACTTGATTGCCAGGCCTTTATCGAACTGACGCACCCACAACACACACACTAAACATGTTTGTTCAGTTCTTGCCTCATGTGGTAAGCGTCAGGTGACTGTTGCTCTGGACAACAAAGCTATACTATATTAAGTATGTGGATCTCACGTGTCTGATAAGGAAGTACTAAGCTTGATCAGGCATCAAGCTCCAGTGTGGTCTGTGCTTCATGATGCGATAACAGTCTGAGATATTTCCCTGCGGGGTTTCTTCAGGAATTTGACTTGTTCCGCCGCATTTGTCCTGCCTGCCCTTCTCTCTTCAAAATCTGAATGGATCATCTGAATTTGACTTGTATGTACCATTTTGCACTCGTTGTCACTTGACATTAAATGATGTTAACATCGTCTAAACTCAAGCTGACGCATCGCTCACTAGCACATTTGCTGCACTCATAGAATAAGCACAAAATGCATGAAATCATTACGCTACAACTGGGGCAGCGAGCAAACTACCTGGCTACACATTTTTGGAATCTTCAGGTTAGCAGAATCTCTTCTCCCTATTGCTGTATGGTGACCTTCAACTCAAGGCTTGAAGGAATCATACTTCACATACAGTGAAGCCGAACAATCACCAATCGATCATGATGTCCATTTTCGACCTGGTATTGGGGCGGATGGATCGGAAACTTACACTCCGAGGACGCTGATTTATGACTTGAAAGGTGCTTTTGGGTCCCTACGCAAGCATAATGCCCTTTATGAGTTGAGTGCAGATTCAGATCCCGGCCAAGGCCTATGGTAAGGTCTCTTCTTTCCGCTCCTTTGTGTATTCTGAGACCTGCGTGGATAGGGCTCACCTCAAACTCTTTTCTTTCAGGGACGGAAAGGAAGTCGTACAGCAACAAACACCAATCATTCAGAGCGAGTATCAAAAGCACCTGGAGCAAGGGCTTCCGGCCCCAGTTCTCTCCTCCGACACTGTGCGCTACTGGTCAGACTATAACCGATTGTTCTATCATCCGCGTTCAATAGTGCAACTCAATGATTACGAATTGAATTCAAAGATTATGCCTTTCGAAGACTGGAATGTTGGGGAAGATCTGTTTGGAGAACTGGACAAGGAGCATGACCTACTCGACCGAGACGTGAGACCTTTTGCGGAAGAATGCGATCAATTGCGCGCCCTTCAATTATTCACAAGCTCCGATGATGCCTGGGGTGGATTTGCCGCAAAATATGTGGATAGACTAAGAGATGAGTTTGGTAGAAAAGCTGTTTGGGTATGGGCTATCGAAGGTGGAAACAAGGTTCAACGAGTGAGTCTCTTCCCTACCAGATGTCTTAATGAAACTCATCTCGTCTATTCCATACAGCACAACCAACTTAAGCGCGATATGAACAAAGCACGATCTATACACTCTATCTCCCCACAGTCGTCGCTGTATGTACCTATTCTAGACCCACCGACTCGTCTTCCCAAGACAATTAGCCTTGACGCTCAGTCGGAATGGCAGACTTCAGCACTAATTAGCACTGCGATGGAGACGGCGACGCTTCCCACCCGTCTTCGTTCTTACAAGGATTTTGAGGCCTCTCTAGCGGGAGAAGACGGCACCCACAAGATCTTTGAGCTGCAGTCTAAGATACTCCCGGAGGACATGAGCAATCAAAAACGACCTGTTCAAACTACAGAAGATCGGGGGACACAAGCATCGAATGGGGGAGCCTCGAAAGCTAGAACAGAGTTCGACTTGGACTTCACTTATGATGATCCGAACAACAATGATTCGCATATATTCAATCAAGTTCAAGTTGCCCGTGGATATAGTCCTGAGAAAGAGGTGCCCGGATCAAGGGAGGATCTTGGATTAATGCGCAAGAAACGCTTTTACAACTCTGAACCAATGCTTGAAAGGTGAGTGAAGACGCTACGCCCTCAAGGGAGATTTTGTGATGTTGATCGACAACTATAATATAGCTTTCACACCCCACTAGCATTTCCTATCTTGGACAGCTCTCCTCGCAACATGTTCTCAGTGAAGCATAAAGACGCAACGATCAACGTTCTCACAGCGCTGACTGCTTCATCGCGAACAGCAATAAAGCTCAAGGCTATGGAAGCCGTTGCTGGGCGGGTTATCGGAGTAGATGAGCGAGAGAATCTCGTTAATGGTCTGGGAGAGATTCGTGAATCCTACGAAACAGGATGGATGAGTGATTCGGATTTCGATGACGATTGAGCAGCATAAATCGCCTTTGAAACATTGAAACGATGATCCTGATTGAGGACAACCACTAGATACTGCATGGCAGATGAAGAATAATGGAACAAAAAGTCAGAATGATCGAATCGCATAGTCCAATTTAGAAAGGCTGGACCCTGCGAAGTTGGCGCCGATCTTCAAATAAATAATGCAAAGTTGCTGTATCGAGTATGTTTGCATCACATACATCCAAACGTGTCCTTATCGAGGTCCGCAACAACAAATTGGGCTTTTCAACTTTCAATGAACCCATTATTCATGCTTACTGCCAGGTGGCCATTTGTGTAGGATTTGGCTGCACTCTTGATGGCTTCTCCTACTTAATGACTTGTAAGTCTGCCTGCGTCCCCAAGCTCAATCTGTTCACATACGGGACTGACTTATCGTCATTTCCTATAGTTCACGACAAGCTCCCTGTGAACCGTGATTTGTGATACTTGAATGTACAGCCAGTTTTGCACCGATTGCTAGGGGAAGCTTTTCAAAGGACTGTTCTCATCTATCTATCTTCTCCCCCAATTTGCGACCACTCATTCGAGGTATGCTCCAGGACTCTTCTTCCCGGATGCTCGGTACATTGTCTGACCTCTATTATGGCGACAGCAATATTGCCAAGATGGCTCCTCCAGGATATCGATTGAGAGCGTTATCGCTTTCCCCAGTCTTCTCCTTCCTCGTCCTTCCTTTTCTACTCTTCTTCCTCAGCTTCCCGGCTCCTACCTCCGCTGCTGGATCGGCAGTTCTCGGTGTCGACGTAGGTACCGAGTATATCAAGGCCGCGCTTGTCAAACCCGGCATTCCGCTTGAGATTGTCCTCACCAAAGATTCGAAACGAAAGGAGTCAGCAGCTGTTGCGTTCAAACCCACAAGAGAAAGTAATGCTCCATTCCCCGAGAGATTCTACGGCGGTGACGCGCTGGCCCTGGCGGCCCGTTATCCCGACGATGTTTACGCAAACCTCAAGACCCTGCTCGGAGTTCCTTTTGAGAATGGTGACAATGAGATGGTTAAGACCTATCATAGCCGATATCCCGCCTTGAGATTGGAAGTTGCCCCTGGTGAGCGGGGTACGGTTGGACTGCGCAGCAATAGGCTCGGCGAGGCTGAAAGAAAAGATGCGTTCCTTGTTGAGGAGCTCTTAGCCATGCAGCTGAAGCAGATCAAGGGTAATGCCGACAGTCTGGCCGGAAAGGGATCGGACGTCAGAGACGTGGTCATTACATATCCCTCGTTCTACACCGCCGAAGAAAAGAGAAGCTTAGAGTTGGCGGCGGAACTGGCAGGTTTGAAAGTCGACGCTCTTATCAGTGATAATCTTGCTGTCGGCCTGAACTACGCCACCAGCCGTACGTTCCCCAGCGTCTCCGATGGCCAGAGACCCGAGTACCACATTGTCTATGATATGGGAGCCGGATCCACCACAGCCAGTGTCATACGCTTCCAAAGTCGCGCAGTGAAGGATGTTGGGAAATTTAACAAGACTGTACAGGAAGTTCAGGTTTTGGGAACCGGCTGGGACAGGACACTTGGAGGAGATTCTCTGAATGACCTTATCGTGCAGGACATGGTCGCAAATCTGGCCAAGGATAAGAAAATGAACGGCCGCGTAAATCCCGCTGAAATCCAGGCGCATGGTAAAACCATGGCAAGGCTTTGGAAGGACGCTGAGAAGGTTCGCCAAGTGTTGAGCGCTAATACTGAGACGGGTGCCAGTTTTGAGAGTCTTTATGAGGAAGACTTGAATTTCAAATACCGTATCACTCGATCCAAATTCGAGGAGCTTTCTGCGGATCATATCGCTCGTCTCGGAGGACCTATTGAGCAATCTCTGGCCGCGGCTGGGCTACAGCTCAGTGACATCGACTCTATTATCCTCCATGGTGGCGCTATCCGTACACCGTTTGTACAGAAGGAGCTCGAACGCATCGCTGGATCTTCTGACAAGATCAGAACAAGCGTGAACGCTGATGAGGCAGCGGTATTTGGTGCTGCATTCAAGGGAGCTGCTCTGAGCCCCAGTTTCCGCGTCAAAGAAATTAGAGCCAGCGATGTTTCAAGTTACGCTGTTCTGCTCAAGTGGGCCTCAGACACTAAGGAACGACAGCAGAAGCTCTTTACTGCAACTTCTCAAGTTGGTCCCGAGAAACAGGTTACAATGAAGAATCTGGATGATTTCGAGTTCAGCTTCTATCAACAAATTCCCGCCGGTGATAAGGTCGTCGAGTCACCGGTTCTCCGTGTGCAGTCTCAGAATCTGACTGCTTCTGTCGCCCAGCTCAAAGAGAAGTTCGGTTGCTCGCCAGCCAATATCACTACGAAGTTTTCTATGCGTCTCAGTCCCGTCGATGGACTTCCGGAAGTTACGGGTGGTTCCGTTAGTTGTGAAGTCGAGAGCGTAAAGAAGGGAAGCGTCGTTGAGGATGTCAAGGGCTTCTTCGGGCTTGGCTCTAAGAAGGGTGAACAGGCACCACTCGGCGAAGAAGGAGAGCCCACAGAGTCAATCACACTGGAGGCAGAAGAACCGCAAGTTTCGACAACATCCTCTGCTGCCGAGGCTTCTACAACGCCCGCCAAGGAAAACAAGAAGGCTGCACCGCAGATGAAAGTGGAGCTGATTCCCATCAGCTTCACGACATTGCCTCTTGGAACTCCCGCGCCATCGGATAGCGAAATGACTCGTATTCAAACCCGTTTGTTTGCCTTCGATGCTTCAGATCGCGATCGCATTCTGCGCGAGGAGGCTCTTAATGAATTGGAGTCTTTTATCTACCGGAGCCGGGATCTGGCTGATGATGAGGAATTTGTCAAAGCGCTGAAAGCCGATCTGTTGGCCGAGCTCCAGGAGAAAACCGCCTCTGCCAGCGACTGGCTCTATGGCGATGGTGCTGACGCTACAACATCGGAGTTTCGGGCCAAACTTAAGTCTTTGAAGGATATCGTCAACCCTGCTCTAAAGAAAAAACAGGAGAATGCGAATCGGCCGGCTCGTGTAGGGCTTCTTCAAGACTTGCTGAAGAACTCCAAAACCATTCTGGACATTTTGCAGAAGCAGATTGAACAAGACGAAGAGCTCTACTCTTCGAGTCTCTCTAGTGCAACCCCCACCCAGTCCACGGAGACCTCATCTCCCACAACTACCTCAACAACGTCTTCCAGCGAGTCGTCCTCGACGACGGCCGATCCTCTCGATGATCTCGAGGAGGACCCCTACACGACGTCCACATCCGAGACCACCTCGGCCACCACAACACCTAAACCCACCGGTCCGAAGTACTCGATCTTCCATCCCTCCGACCTCGCAAGCCTCACCAAGATCTACGAGTCCACTAATACCTGGCTCGAAACCCAGCTCGCCCTCCAGGAGAAGCTGACTGAGTCCGACGACCCGGCTTTGACAGTCGCAGAGATTGACACCCGTCTCAAGGAACTGGAACGGACCATGAACCGCATCTATGAGAAGATGGGCGCAGCTGCAGCCAAGTCTGGTAAATCATCCGGGGACCAGTCGAAGGAGAACGGCAGGGGCAATAATGGCCAGAAGCCCAAGAAGGACAAGGGGAAGAAGGAGAAGCCCGAGAAGGCCAAGGCTCCTCCCAAGGATGAATTGTAAACAAAATATGTATCTGATTAACGATTTGTATTAGACTCTTGAATACACCTGCTTGCAGCAAAATGATAAAATGCGGCTCTGAGCGTTTAGTCATTTACCGTCACCCAAGACCTCTTTTCCCTGGATTGTCTTGACTTTGTTTCATATGGAATAGATGAAATGACTATGAATTATCAAGCCAAGTATGCACGTCAAATGAAGCAAAATAGCTCGCTATTATACACAGAATGTCAAAGCACCTATATCATACGTATACATGCCAGATTGCGGCTCGAGAGAAAAGCAAGAGAGGCTTAGTGAGAGGCTAGGGTATTTGTACATCCATTGCCTTGTAGAATCATATCAAACAGGCAGAAGAATAAGTGATAAGAGCAAATATGTGAGTGAACATATACAGAGAAATGAAAAGAATACCAGGGAAGAACTTTGACAGCCCCTACCGCAAGCTCTTGAATAGATCACTGAAGCCAGCTCAGTGTTGAAAAGCATCCTCGCGCCATTCTGCACAACAGATGATGAGCCGGAAGAGGCCGAATGATCACTTTGAACCATGATCGGGGGACCAGGCAAATATCTCATGCCCCTCCCATTTCAACCTCATAACCACCAATTCGACCAGGCACGTAATCGTTATCAACCTCTTCCCGCCTACGAAGGAACAATGGCTCTTCGAAATCATCGACTTCCATAGTCCTCTGTTGAACTGTGCTCTTGGCTTGGTTTTGTAACGCAACGAATCGTCGCCGTTGGTGTTTCAGGCTCGGACAGAGGATGGTTCGACCAGATACGGGGTCTGGAGTCGCGAACATGATATGCTCAAAGTCACTGGCGTATTCATCCACATCATCAGGGACATAGGATCGTTTATGGCTATTGTTGGCCGAGTAAACAGACTCCTGACTGCTGGGAGGAAGCGAGAAGGCATCACCATCGTCGGTGACGATGTCGACGTTATGGTCCCCTGTGTGGGACAGCCGATAGGCCGGATCAGAGTGAGGTTTGATGGTGTAGTCGCCTGATTTGGAGAGACCGCAGAAAGGATCCAGTTCCGCGCGGATGGTGGGGCAGCCTCTACCGGTGGAATGTTCCTGCTTTGTGGAGAGGGTGATGGTACTGGTAGGTGCATCGAACATCTTCACACCCTTCGTCTTGTAGCCTTCAGCGATTGATTTGCGGACGCGCATGCCGACGGAGAGGAGAGAGGACTGGATTCTGGCGGGGAGAACGGGGGTGGCAGAATGGGTAACGGCGGCATAGTGGTTGTGAGAAAGATGGGGGGTGCATGCAGCGTCTGTGCCATTCGAGTCGGACACAGGGGAGAAGAAAGTTGTAATAGGCGGTTGGAACCGTCTGCGCTTGGAGTCTAGGTTGCTGTTCTTTGCAAGAGACATCTTGATTGGAATAACGTAATTGATCTGCCGAGGTGCAGTACAAAGTAGAGGAGTGGAGAGTTTCTGTTATTGATGTTGCTCTGTAGGGCTTTACAGTGACCAATGGAAGTAGGTTGTTTGTCAGAGAATTCGGCAAAAGATTTCAAGGAGCCTTAGGGAAGAATGCGAGGCATGACTGGCATGCAATCATTTGATGAAGACTGGAGATTAAGAAAGAGAGGATGGGGAATGACGACCGCAGAAAATGAAAGGCTGGGAATTTGCGGAAAAACGCGAAGTGGGAGGGTGACGCGCTGCGGCTACGGCACGTGTGATTCTGGCGCAGATCAATATATCCTCTTTGGGACGCGATAGGGGCTTGTCCATTAACCTTTCGAATGTAATAGATACTCTGAGCATGGATAAAGACGGTCAAGACACAAAGCAGAGCTGATATTCAAGAGATGTACCCTGTCTACCCACAAAAAGAAGAACAGCGACAAGGCTATGGTTTGGGGAAGAATCTCTTGAATCCGTACAACCCAGGCCGGGAAAACTTCAAGTCTGAACAAGTAGATCAAATATTGGTATCTAAACTTTTGGCCGTCTAAATTCTCTTCTCCATGTTATCCTATACATACTATGACCCAGTGTTTCCTCTCCTGCCACCACGCTTTCGCCGTTCCTGGTGAGCCCGCAAGATGTTTCGTGTTTCCACAAGACTTCTCTTGCCCTTGCTCTTCGCTTTTCCTAGAGTCATGAAGAGATTCTTTCTGCGCTCCTTCTCCTTGTTGGTAGTACTCTTTCCCTGCGCCTCCTTGCGCTCCTTGCGCCGTGCGGTCACACTCTTGTACTCGGACCGATCCTTGCCTTCCTTAGCATGAGCGATCCGCTCTTCGCGCGTTGCTTTGCCAGCAGACAAAGCTGCCAGACCCTCAATCTCTGCGGCTGTGAGTGGATCATCCGCGTGGCGAGAAGGACCATTGTTCTGGTCAGAGCGGAGTCTCTTTGGAAGTAAAGAATTGACGGCCGCGTCGTTGCGCAGCTCTGCAAGTTTGGCCAGGTCGGCTGGCGTGAGAATCCGAGTCGTCGCAAGATTCGTCTTCTTCGTTTCGGGTTTCGCAGTCTCGGACTCGGCCTTGTCGTCTTCCTCTTCGCCTTGCTTGGCCTTCTTCGCAGGCGGGGAATCGTCATCTGAGTCGCTCAGCTCAATCTCCACATCGCTCTGCACGTCAACCCATCCACCGGAATCATCGCTATCCTCGTCGTCTTCCACGTTCCACTTATCCCAGGCCGCATCATCTTCTGCCTCGTCGTCCTCATCATCTTCGGCATCAGAGGGCAGACCCTTTTCGATTCTCCGTTTCCGGCGCTCTTCCTCCTTCCACTTCTCCAGCAGCTCAAGACCTTCGATCTCGCCAATCTGTTGCTCACCAAAACGACGCTCCTTCTTCTCTCCAGCCCGTAAGCCCATCGAAGCCTCTTTGCCTCGGTCTCGTCTCTTGAGCATCTCCGCGCCAACATCTCTGTACAAACTAAGTAACCCTCTGGCAGCCATGACCACACCCTTGTCTTTGCTCTTCCTGTACATAACTAGATCCTGCAACAAGGTTTCATTCATCGCCAAAGGCTGTCGGGCACAAATCTCTCGAATGGCGTTAAGACCAGCCGTAGCCACCTCCGACGCTGCTGCTTCAGAGACAAACTCATTTGCGATCTTCTGCACGAGAGGCTCTAGGACATCAGGTGGAACCAAGTCGTGTGATGCTTGTGCAAGTGAAGCCAGGAACGATGTCACGGAGGCCTGACGTGGTGTGAGGTATTTCTGAAAGTAAGAGTAGAGATGCATGATATGCAGTCTGTGCAATCCGACGAGACGAGAGACCAGTTGTAGAACGAGGAGTTTCTGGTCCAAGTTCAAGTTCGACTTCGTGTTCTGAAGGTGTTTTGAGAACAAGGCCTCGGCGAATCCTTGGGGATCGTGCAGAAGATGAAGGGCTGAAAAGTTCAGAGGATGCGGCTGGTTCTTCTTGCGTTCTCTCTTCTTCACTGTGGCTTTTGCCTTCTCGACAGCGCGAGACTTCTTTCGGGTCTTCTTGTTAATCCCAACCTGATGCTTCACTCTTCCAAGGTCGATGGCCTCTTCATCACTGCTCTCGTCTTCCATTTCCTCTCGTTCCTTGTCGCCGCCCAAGAAGAAACGAACACCACCAACAATCACTTTCTCATTTTCTGACAGACTAGCCTCCTTCATGACTTCGACAGCCTTAGCATCGGTCCAGATCTGCCGTTTCCATAGTTCGCGCGTGAGCTTGATTGCCCACAAGCCTTTGGAAGAGGTGCGGTCTGACGTAACCAAGTTGAACAAGACGGTCTGCATAGTCCGGTTAAGCTTGTGATTCGTTGTTTTTGCGTTCGATGAGCGCAGGTCCATGAGAATCTTTTGGAAAATCAGGGCCCGAAGAGTTTTGCTCGGTGTTGAGATTAGAATAGGGAACAATGTCTGTAGCAGCCTAGATATATGAAATAGCAGGATTAGTCGAACATCTTCGGGTAAACACGACATTGTTCAATTTTCACATACGTCGCAGAATCAAGCAATTCCTTCTTTCGAAGTAGCACTAAACTTCCGACAATCTTTTCTCGCAGTTCGGGTTCCAGAACCAGATGGTGCTGGGTCAGGATATCCATGAGCTGCTGGGGAAAGTCCTTCGTTATAGTTGGATAGCAATCGGCAACGTGAGCGATAAAATCAATCAATTCTCGCAGGGAAATGATTCCAGTATCGGTGGCAGCCGTAGGCGCTGCCATGAAAATCTCTCGATGACTCTCATATTGGTAGTGCTGGGCCCGAAAGTCCTCAATGTACGACCTGGACACCGCGCACTCATGTTAACGGCCTGTGAAATCCAGAAGAATACCAGAATCTCAGGCGCGAACAACTCACTTTGGATCTCTGCGAATTTTATGCTGTAGATTGGGCCTGGTAAGTCAGACAGAGTGTTAGTGGCGAGCGAAAACTTCTCTCAGGTTTCGATAGTTGAAAATTGAGACGAAAATGTAACTTACAGGTCAGCTTCGACCTTTTCCAAAGCCCCCAACTTCCGTTTCACCATGATCTCGAATTATTGCCCGATAATTCGAGCGTTGCAGGTTAGGAAGCGGTGGTGGTGGTTGGGTTGTCGATAAGTCGAAAGCTCCGAACTTTTTTTCTTCCTCCTGGACTGGCGTATCGATAAGCGGTGGCCTCCGCAACGCAGCCTAGGCATTAACTCCTACGAAGTACCTACAGCCTTAATTACTTCTGTGCAGTGAGAAGACATGAGTACTCATGAATTAAATGTCAATAATCAACTCTTGATTGTGGATCTAGTCGACAAGTGAAAGTATCGCTCGCCAGTTTCTCCTCTGATGAGTACTAATCACCGGTGGAGTCAGGAACAATTAGACTAGAGATGTGGTTTCTAACGAAGAAAAAGGGGAATCAACCTATTATGCATGATAGTCTTCTAATCGCACTCCAACTACTAAAGAAGAAAGCCGTCCGATTTCATTGATTTTTTTGGATCTCACTCCCTCCGTGACTGTCTTGAGGTATGTACAGTCGCGCAGTTTCATGCAATTCGACTGAATCCTTAATGAAACCCCGTCCACTCCAGTAAACATAAAACCAGGAACAAACGGAGAACACGCCCAATCATTACCCCTTTACCGGTTGCTCTTGGCAACACGCTCGAGCTCGTCCTTCTTCTTGATGGCGTAAGAGTTGGAGCTTCCCTTGGCAGCGTTGATGAGCTCTTCAGCAAGGCACTCGGCAATGCTCTTGATGTTACGGAAAGAGGCCTCACGAGCACCGATGGTCAGGAGAGCGATGGCCTGGTTGACACGGCGGAGAGGAGAAACATCGACGGCCTGACGACGGACGGTACCAGCGGAACCGATACGAGTGCTGTCTTCACGAGGACCGCAGTTGACAATAGCGTCAACAGCGACCTGGAGGGGGTTCTGGTCGGTCATGATGTGGATCTATGAAAGGAAAGACGAAGTATCAGTAATTTATTCCTGGCAAACTCGGTAGACTCAATGGTCTGGCTGAACTTCAGGTTCGGGCGGAAGATTGCACGTACGATCTCGAAAGCGTGGGCAACGATGCGGACAGCCATGAGCTTCTTGCCGTTGTTGCGACCGTTCATCATGAGAGAGTTGGTCAGGCGCTCAATGATGGGGCACTGAGCCTTGCGGAAACGCTTAGCGGCATAACGACCGGCAGTGTGAGGGATGTAGACGGGGTTGCGAATCTGGATGTAGTCGCTGTATTTGTGAAGCCGAGTCAGCAAATTTGCGTCTGTCAACCCCAATGCTGTCCAAGGCACATATTCCCGATTGTGTGCGCGGATATTTCCATTTTTGTACGAGTCGAATGTCTCCCAGCGAAATTGGACTGAACCCGACCAAAAACGATTTCCTCTCGCAGCACGTCTGAGTCGCAGGGGTTTTGGAATCAAAAACCTACGTCAAAGAGATATCCCGGATCTCAACATCCTCGTAGCTCCACTTGTTGAACAGCTTGACGGTGCCCATCTCGGCAAGAGCGTCCTTAGGCAGAGCCTGGAAAGCCCCAGAGGGGTTTTCGACCTCGACTTCCCCGTGATCAGACATTGTGACGCCGTATGCACCTGTTGTCGAGGGAGGGATTCGTGAAGGTGACGGACGGTGTCGTGGGTGAGCCTTCAATGTCGTCGATAGCAGTCGGTCGGCTGAAAAGGTTCGCTCGACACAGGGAAAATCGAGGTGCGCCTCGCTTAACACTGTGGGTGGGTTAGGGCAGGGCCGGCGCCAATCATCCCGCTGGGGTCATGTGATAATTGTTTTAGGCGCTCCCGCCGCTTTAATCTATATTAGGACTAGTTGTAGTTTGAGTACAACCAAGTACTGGGCTGTCATGCAATATCCATCTATATGGTCTTCCAACTTCTTCGATGTTGATATTGCATGACTAGGGTGTCTCTTCATCGCAACTG